TGTAATATGTATTATGTGTGAGCTATAGAGTATTATAGGGACTTTAATATATACCTAATATACCTATATAGTTGATGGGAAATTGCGAAAATAAAGAAAAAATAAGTGAAAAAAAAAACGCTCGTCCTGCCACGTCCCATGAAAACTATCACACAAAATCTATTATCGTTTAGGGGATCCACAAAAACAAAGGCGGTCTCCACGAGAACAACCATGGCAGCCGTGTTTCGGGCGGCGAGGGGCCGAGCCAATGCCGTCGCAGCGCTGCGCACCCTGCCCCCTTCTCATTGGTCCCCCCGCCTGCCAGCCCGTTTGCAGTCATCCCGGCCGCTGGTCCCTGTTTTCCAGTCAGCCGATCACTAGTACTCCGTAATTTCGTTAGTCACTTCTAGTTTGGCATCGGATGACGCGCTCTTTCGTTAATCGGACACTCCGGTCATCCCAAACCAATTCAATTTAAATCATAATCACCGTCCGACCAACATTTTAGAGTTTTTCATTTTTTTTTCGATACTGACATTTTTTGTCCACCCCGAAATGTCACCGCTTGCATAAAAAAAAGTATAAACTAATTATAATTGCCCGTAAAATAATAAATAAATTACGCGTTGTTTTTGTATTTTGATTCGTTTGTTCACGAAGCGGCAACCGCCACCGTATATATATATATATATATCGTCGAGTATCCACATAATACCAATAATACCGATTTCAATAAAAGTTACGACCAAGTCACACAGTGCATTCGCACCAGTACCGCCGTCGCTACCACTGCACCAGAGCCATCGCCACTACCTCGTGCCTGCACCCTTGCGGAGCACCGTCGACGTTTTGCGACCCGGCGTACAGTAACGGGCACCGCGATTGATCTGAAAGGTGTGTCGGGTGGTGATCCACACCACCCGCACAACATTTTCCCCGCTCTGTTCTCGAGGCAGTTGAACTTCAACAACGGGTCACACCATCACGGTGGTACGGCACACTCGTCTTCGGGTAAGTTTGGTTTTCATGTGTATTTATAGGTACTGCAAGTATAGATAATATATAATATAGGAACATATTTTGTGCCGCGGTATACTGGTATCGCGGTCCTTTGGGCTACAGATCGACTATTATAATACCTATAGGCTATAATATACAATAAGTCCACATTTATCATATATATATACTTATATAGGTACGAGCTGCCAAATTTCGTGTGAATATGTCAGAGCAACCACTATTTTTTTTTTCAAAATCTGTATAGTGCACATTTTCGCCGTAGATATGTTAGTCTACCATGCTTTTCAGGGGGTGGGGAAAGGGTATATTGGATAAGATACAAACGCTTTTTTGAGAAATTATACAACATGTATATAGTTACAAGTAACACAATTATTTGTCAATTTTGCATTGTCGTATATTAGAAGGTACCTATATACCTACACCTACCATATACAAAAATAGAATATCTACATATATTTATATATATATATTATATGTATATGTGTATTGTATATACTTCTTTAATCATTACTCATACCTAAGCGTGTTTCGTAGTCTCATAAATATACTAATATAATATGGATTTGAAAGAATTTGTATATGATGACATAATAGTTTGAAACTATATATTATGTCTGTATTAATGTATGTATAGATTTCAATAGGCGAATATTATATTATAGACATTTTGATTTTCCGCTGTGAAAAGTGTGAAAGAGAATAGGTAGGTACACGGACACATATGGTTGTTTGTATTCTTCCAGTTTTGCTCATGACTCATATATAGCCATTTATCTATAGAAATTGTTTTTGTCATATGATTTGGAAGTAGGTACCTAAATATATACGTATACCTACATTATTTTATTAAAAGTTATCCGTGGCAACTGTAAAGCCATTGGATTGGATTTGACGGAACAATGGTTTTTGATATAGAGTTAGGGTCAAATTATTGTAATTAAAGTACCTATTTACAAAAAAAAAAAATACTGTATTAAATTATTATAAATATATTATACATTATAATTTATAATATTATATTTCACTGATGAGGTGTCATCTTGATATGAATTCAACTATTCATGTATTTTGAGGATGTTGTCTACAGGTTCCAGCTTAAAAGTTTCTGAAAGGTGGTAGGTAGTGGAAATGACCGATTCGATCCTTTCCTCGACCCATACGTCCTGCATTCGGTGTGTCAATGTGATTCATTGTGAGCTGTGAGGACTGAGGAGGGTACTTCATCTGATACATATATAGGAAGATCTTATCTTTTAATTTAATGTTGATGTGTGGAGCGTATATATCTTATTCTGGGGCGGTTAATGGAGGTTCATACTTTCTTGTTGAATAAGGGCCAATATAGGTGGGAATTGGTGATTATTTTAACTTCATTAAATTTGGTTGAGAGTTTGAGCCATTGTTATTCCCACTAGTAATGAGTGTTTATTTCAATATCTTTATAATGTCCGGTAAGAGAAAAAATTGATTATGATAGTGTCAGTGGATGAATGTCTTCCCAGCTCGTTGTTTGCCATATTATATAATATATTATCTATAGGTACACCAACGGATACTATATAATAGTCAATCGATACTACCAATATTATCTTTCAAAAATAAATCGAGTGATTTTTTAGTGTTTTTAAACTTCTAACACAAAATATGATTTAAAACAAACATGTGTTATACAACCTAGATAAATAATTGATCAAGACTTAAAAATAAATACATAGGTAGGTATTAAGTGTAGAAAATGAAATCTTTATCAAATATACAATCAGGTTATATTATTTATCTATAAATCATTTTATCTTAAAAATGAAAAAGTAATTAATAAAGTAGTGTTCTCGTGTTACCTATACAATATTATCATATATATATATAGCTAATAACTAGCATACATTAATTGTGTTTAATTAAAAACACAATAACTAATATTTTATAATAAATTAGGTTAGCAAGTAATTGGGCATGGCAGAAACCTACGGCTGCCCAACTTGAAATTCTGCCAAACCTAAAAAAGCGTTTCAACCAACCGTTCAAACCGCCTCCCCCTACTATAAAACAATAAAAAACAATTAATGACCATAGTTGCTAGGCTTAACTTAAGTTCAATAAAAAAAAAAAAAAAATAACAAGTAATTATATATTTATATAACTAAGTCGAAAAAATGAAACCAAATAAATAAATTGGTGTTTAAATTACAAAAGTATTATAATAATTAGGTATAGGTATTATAATTACGAAGAATGAATATTATATACATATTCACCATGATTTGACACCGTCGCAGTGTAACATTGATATAAATAATAGTTATATTGTAGTTACTTGAAACTTGTAAAGATTCAATATAAATATACAATACCTACATTATTTGAGTTGACTACTAATTTATAGGTACGTGTATTGTAAAGCATGTACTATGAAATTAATTATTAATATTATTTTATTATTAAAATTCTAAGATTCACTAATGTTTTCATGTTTAGTACTACATGAATAGTGTGCATACCACACTATACAATACTTACAATATAATTAAATTTGTTTTTCACGTCTTATTAATAACTGAAAATGTTACTGACATTTCTCAGTTATGTAGAATGAAAAACGATTGAACAAAATGTATTATGATTTATGAACAAATTAGACATTCGGTACCTATGATAAATTGTAATTGATAATATTGCTTGGTGCAAGGCCAACATCATATTTTGATAATGTTCAGGAATTCAAAAAACAAATTGACTAATTTCTAAAATGTACACAATCATTTTAAAATTAAAGCAAGGACTCTAAAATTATGTTACATAATTAAATTTGTTTTTATTTTATTGTATGAGTAAGACTCTCATTTTATTTTTGACTAAAAATGTGTGCGTTTTATTTACACATTGGCCCCCCCAGAATATAAAAAAAATTTATTAACAAAATTTAAAATAAACAATTTTTAATAATTAGGTAAGCAACATAACTTTTTATTAAAACCTAATAATAATATTCAATTGCACATAATGTTAGTAACTATACCTACTACGTTTATAAACTTTATAATTGATTTTGAAATGGCCAATGTTGACATAAACCCATTCTATTAATGAATATAATTATATCGCTTATTGTTAAAGTGGCCAATATCAAATCTAATTTGGTCACACTGCATCTTAGACATTAGTCATTTTAACATAAGTAACATAATTAAATTTTTATAACATCGGTCTAATAATCTAAATTTCGTCAAAATGTGACTTTCACCTGTTTTGCACCAAGCCACTCACTCGGAAAAATATCGACCATTCTTCTACAACAGATCATATTATAATAGGATAGTACATATAATTTATAACAATATACTATATAGTTATACACACGTCCACATATAATAGCCCTATAAATGACCACCCGCATCCATAGGCGTTGGGTTATTAAATATAATGGGGATAGACGTGTCTTATACAAATTTGGAAAAATTTATATTTGTTTTTAGAATAAAATTATTGTTCTAATTCATTATATTATCATTATTGTCAATATCATTAAGAATACAGTTTTTGACAATAATCGCCCCTTGGTATCTGGTATATATCAAAAATGATATTAGGTATTATTTATTATGTTCTGACGTGATGATATGTAACAAGATTATGATAATTGATAAATAATTACAATAGTGATTATATTATGAGTATTACCACAATCAGCCACAAGTTCAGTATAATAAGCTCAATTTACCCTAAAGACATAGATAACAATAAATATTATTTTTAAATAGGTATCATATCAAATATTAGATAGTAACTAATATTTTTAAAATTAAGATGGCTTAAAATTCTGGATGGGGGGGAGTGCTTAGCATAATTACTCCTATACTCCACTCATCATACAACCTATACCATCCATCGCATATAAGTGGATAATAAATTGTATTAATAGTTACTAGATGTGGGTACCTACAGCATGTATTTAACGACATTCCGTGCCGATTTTTTTTTTCGTTTCAGGCAAACTCATGATGGACGATTTGCGGCCGGGTCTTGGAGGCATATTGGGTTTGATGGATCACGATCACCATCATCATCACCTCCACCATCACCACCCGACCGCGGTGCACGTGGACAAACAACGTGCCTCGAAGGGGGCCAGCGACTCGTCCAATGAACTCGGCTCGATGTACGGACTGCCGGTTAACGCGGCCGGTGACTCGTCTCACCACAACACGCCGTCCCCCGGACGAGGATCGCTAGCTGAACAGACTAGTACGTATATTCAATTTATAAATCCTGAATTATATCATTAGGGTATACAATTTATTTTAATAAGTTAAAGTTATTATAACGTTCGGCCGACGATAGCCGAATTATTGACACTAAATTGCTATAGGTAGTTGCTAATACAAAGAGTTCTCATAAGGGTTTCTTTTGTTATAATTGTATAGAAATAAGTTTCTACTTTCCACTCAAACTATACCTACTTCTAAAATAATTAATTAGATAAAAGCCACCAAATTTCTCAAATTATTAGTATATTTTATACTGTTATGAAATAATGATAAATTATTAATTTTATACAAATTAAGTCAACGGATTAGTACTTACACTATACAGTGCTCACAAAAGTTTTTTTTAAATAATAGACACATTCAAAATGTTTCTAAAAATTATTTAGAAGATCTTTTAGATGAATTATTTACCTATTATATAGTAAGTACCTATGTGTATATTCTCATTGTCTTCTTAATATTATCTCATTTCTCACTTTCACAGTGTCATGAAAATTATAGGTACTCCACAATAATAACACAGTCAAAATGACAATAGTACCTAATTTTTTTAAATATTGAAAATTTAAATACATATAACAGGGTGAATAATACATTTATTAAAATGGTTATGATTTTTGGTATTTTTAAATATGCTGAACACCATATTATTTTCAAGTAAGTAGTAGTTTTACTTAAGATTTTTTACCATTAAGTAATTAGGAGTGTCTATGGACGTAAAAACTCATTTTTTTTAATTTTCTTTTATAATTTGTCTACAGTAAATTGCTTGGCCGATAAGTTTTTTGGAAATTTGTTTGCTTCTAAAATCGTAATCGAAATTATAACAAGTAGTTTCTGAGTAATTAAACATAATGTACCCACTAACATAGATGGAAGTTCTTAATAACAACTTTACATCTTATTTTTAATAAAATATAAATCATAGGTATTTAATATTTAGACTAGCATAGGATATATGTAGGTAGTTACTAGTTACTAATAATTAAACTATGAACAATGAACATGTTTATAAATTGTAAAATTTTTTTATAAAAAAATTAAAAATATTAACAACCTATATATTAATTAATTAATACTAATTATTACTATAGATCATGTATACTAAGTCTATTAATTATTATCATTTAGTGTTTAGTGTAATAAGTAATAACTTAAAGTTTACTCAAATTTATATCAAGTTAACTAAAATTTCAATTTCAATTTATCAATATTTTTAAAATAAATCATCTCCTTTACAAATTATAATGGTATACAATTTAGGTAATGGAGTCTTCATAAAATATAAAATTAAGTTATATTAGTTAGGTATCTATAAATCATTTTATCTTACAAATGAAAAAAAATAAATTTGTATCTCAAAAGGGGCTTTTTTAAATGGTATAAAAAATCATAATTTTTATTAAATAATTATTTATGAAAAATGGGGCTGAGCTATTCTGTTTAAAGATTTTGAAAATATAGGTTAGTAATTCATGCATTATAAAATATAAATTATTGTGTAACACTAAATAAATATTTGTTGGTACTTTAATTAAGAAAAAAACAATACTTTCTTCTAAGAAATAAAATAGACTTATAAGAAGGCGTTTTATTTGACCAATGTGTAATAAATAAAGATAGTTGACATTTTAGTACATTAAATTATTATTTTTTATAAATTATTTATTTATAAATAAAATTAATGTACTTACCTACACTCTAAAATATTTATCCTAAAATATTTAATTAAAGTATATGTACCAATTAGTTGAATTCCTAATATAGTTATAACTAGGTGAATATATAATACATTTATGCACAATGTTTTAATTTTAAGTTTTAAGGCAATATTTATTTTATAGCTATTTAAATTTAATTCCTAATTACAAACTTAATATTTTTGTTCGTTCTAAATGTATATAAAGTTGTCTATATTTATATAGGTAGTACCCTACTATCTATAATACTTCTATAATTTTCTTGAATAAATTACAAGCATTCAAGAGGTTTTTCATACTCTGAACTTTACAGTGTTTGATGTTAGTGCTTCATAAACATACAAACCGAGAATTTTTAATTAAAAACAAACTTTATAAAACGCGGAAATACCTACAGCCAAAGGAAGAATGTAATTTACTAACAAACCATAACAATTTGAATAATGTGAATAATGTTATTTGGTATTTTACAAAAGCAAAATGTAAACTATTATTTTCAAGAATAATAAAATGATAATAAAATCAATAATATGATGGATATAGCACCATAACCAGTATAGCTGTATAGGTAGGTATTATATAACCAGAAGGTTTAAATCCAAAACATATAAATTTGTATTTGGTAGTAATTAAGTGGAAATGGAATGTTATTAATGCTCTTATGTTAAATTAATCACTCATTAACTTCTTAAGTTGAACAATTTCAAAAATAGTTTTTTTAAATTTTTAGCATCCGAAGGAGCGTTTAAAAAATTGAAAACAGAACCTTTGACATCTGTAGGTAGCATAAGTGCAAGTCATTCTGGACACACGCCTACTACGGCAACGTGCCCGACTCCAGCAAGACGAAGACACCGTACGACTTTTACCCAGGTCAGTAACCACTAACCAATAACGATACATTATAACAGACCAATATTATGTAATTAGGTATTATGCTCGTTATATCCTATGTGCACGTGTTTATTAATTGTTCATACATTTTTTTTTACTTAGGAACAACTGGCAGAGCTTGAAGCTGCTTTTGCCAAGTCTCACTACCCCGATATCTATTGCAGGGAGGAATTAGCAAGAAGTACAAAACTCAATGAAGCTAGAATACAGGTAATAGTTTCTATAAATACTGTAATTTTATCGTGTACCTTTACATTTTATACTGTATATAGTTTAAAATTATTAGACTTAGGTTATTAATAATTATGGGCCGATTGGACGGACATTAAGTTACCTTAGGTCCTAGGACGATAAATAGGTTTTTGTTATTTTTGTTGGATGCAGGCTTGGTTGTAAATGTTGTACAGTTATATTATTCGTAAAATTTAAAAATATTTATAAGTAAAGTTATATACTGTGTGTAAATATTTGATTTTGTCAAATACAAATTCCATAGGCCAACTAAAATCGATAATTTTATAAAATATAATATTCTAATTTCATCGACACCTGCAGCCGATTAAATTTATTTTTAGGTACAGTTTGTGACAGATCGCTTTTGAATTATGATACGCCCCCGATATATTTATTAAAATTTACGCCAAATGGCACAAATACATACCTACAGTAGTTAATAACTTACTAATAGATACCTAATGGTATAAAGTCTGTACAGTACATTGGTACACATTATTATGTATGTGATAATAATGCAATATATGAAAATGCATAAACTTAAGACGTCCGGCGGCAATATCATTTTGTCCACAAAAAAATAAAAAGAATAATTATCCTGTCTTGTATAATCAATCAAATTTGATAATTTTTTTTCAACCCATATTATTACACTCAACATTGAACTCCGTTTTTCAATATTTTAATCTCTAACTTTATAATATGTTTTTAAAAATATGACAAAAGCTTTTAAAAATAAATGTAATTATCAAAATCCGACAGATCTATTAAGCATGATGGTTTTTCCTGTGAAGGCATTTTTGTTGATATAATACAACGTATCAATCCCCCCTTAGGTATCGGGCATTAGATTAATGGAAAAGTATTTTATAATTAAGGTGGCAAATAAAATATAAATTATAATTTTCAAACTTTATAGAACTGCGGAAAATTCGAAAAATTGACACCTTAAGATAAAATAAACAATAAACGCTGTAAATGTACTTCGTTAAAAACTGATAGATTATCTAGTTTGAAAAAATAAAATTAAGTTAATTAATTAGTTTATTACATCATGTTAATAAAAAATAAATTTAAAACGTTCTTATAATCTATTAAGACCTCTTAACGTATTTGAGAATTGAGGAAATAAGGAAAACTTAGAGCATGAGCGTACAATATATTAAAATATTAAAACATGAAATAAAAGATACGGCAAAGAAATGTGATCATTTAACAGTTTGTACATAAAGGAAACATCAAAAAGTCAATGTATCTTGTCTAATTTATTAAGGTGTGAGTTATAAATTATAATAGTAGATATTATGTATTAACTGTACAGAGTACAAACCTTACTTTTGTAATACTGTGGTATCTTGTGATAAGTGACTATGTATAGTATCATTTTATATGAACACCTCCGCTGAACTCTTTCAAGTGGTTTATTTTAACTTACCTGTGAAAAATTCAAAAGTAGGCTAAGGTCAGGTGGGGACGTGGGGTGAGTGAAACACCAAATTTACAAGTTTAACTTTAACTTTTAACTGATTCCTAAATCTACGTTTTAATATTTATGACCTTAGTAGTAAATTATATCCATTCTATAAGATACCATGAATATAAATTTGTTCTTAAAACTGAGCTACTGTCATTACTTAAAAACAAAAATCGAAATTAAAAAAAAAAATATTTTGAATTATGCACTTGTCCCAGTCGATTGGGCAAGTGGAAAATAGTCAACTAACTAGTGCTTTACATTCATATTTTAGTTTATGTGGAAGGGTAGAAACTTATATTTTTTAAATTACAAAATTATATTTTTAGTATCATGATTCACCAAAATAACACAGCATTTTTAACATTTTAATTTTTATACAATGATTTACTAGGTTAATTTTTACCATTAATACATGTCGATTTGAATCAAGACAAATCAAATTATTTTCTATGCGGGGTAAGTGAAACACATTACTATGTGCTTTTCCATATTGATTGTTTCACTTGCCCCATAACTCATTTTTGTGGAGAAAGTGAATAATTGATCAATTATATCAGAAAATTATAAAAAGAGATTTTTTTTAAAGTCTTATAGTAAAATACAAATAAAACTTCTTATGTTTTGAAGATCTAGTTTATGAAAACGTCAAATAAAATAAATAAATACTTTATGATAACAGACCATATTTTTATTATGTGTTAACATAAATTGTATGTACAGTAAAGTGTACCTAAATGTTTATTTTTCCATATTTAAAAGAAATTGTACATATATATTACAGTGTGACTTTTAGTCCAATCATATTTTTGTATTTTATAGGACTCAATTAGCCACTTACCCCACCTGACCTTACCATTTTCTACATTAAGTTCAACTAGATCACAATAAAAGGTTTTTTTATATCAGTCACATTACATAGGCGTATAACTAATGTGTTTTATATGATAACAGCGGTTAATTACTACATGTTTGGTGTTGTCCTGAAATGTGTTTGTACCTAATATTGTAGGTATAGGTAGTTAATTAAACGCAGGTTATCGTCATTTAATTCTGAAATTGTATACCACAAGGCACAAACTAAAAATTATAAAGCTTCACACATTATTTGAATGTATGACAAATCGTGATGTATAAAATAATACAATATATTATTATAATATAAGACTATAACAGTTATATATACGACACGCGTTTAATCGCGATGCAGGCAGGCATCGAGGCAGGCTGAGTCACCGACTTTCCCTCAATCATTGTCCCCAAGAACATCACACAGGGGCCACTGTAATTGAATTTATCATCCAAAATGTATTTCCGGGCACATAAAGGGATACGTTTTCCCTGCAGGGTTTTAAAAGGCCATACTTTCCCGAATATTTTATACACCCACACACTATATAGTGATAAAACGAGTTTGTAATGACTTGAAAAGGGGAGAGGATGTTTTTGCATTGGACAATGACGATGACGATGTTTTAGGTATGGTTTCAAAACCGAAGGGCCAAGTACAGAAAACAGGAAAAGCAATTGCAAAAGGCTTTGGCCCCGCCCTCCATGCTTCCCGGATGTAACGGGGCCGCCATGATGAGAAACATCTACCCTTCAGCTTCTAGAACGTACCAAGCTTACCCGCACCCGAATAGCATGAACAGATACCATCCGCAGGTAAAGAATATTATTATTATTATTTTAACATAGTTAGAACTCTTTAAATATATTCTGTCCACATCATGTTTCTAATAGTGGCTTGATACACACAAGTATATAATATCATTTATACTGTAGGTATATTATTTAAATAATATAACTCTATCAAACATTCAAACATTTGATTTATTGATGTCGTTAATCATATTATTTGTATTATTATTAATTATTATATTTACAATGCCATATTATAATGGTATTATAAAATGTGTGTCTTACTAAAAAAAAACACGGGAAACTACCTGGCTACCTACCTGAATAAATCTATTTAGGTATCAGTTATTTTATAAAATTATTGACAACAAATTTAAGCTATGTTGATAATTTGATAATTATTAAATTATTAAGGCTTATAATAAAAATGTATCTCCAGTTATATTTTGTTTTTAGTCAACTAATACAACAAACATGTTTTAGATGTCATCTTCTTACATGTCCACAGCAGTGATGTCCCAGCCATTTAATGTTTCAAGTCATCAAGCTATTCCAACTGCTTCTGCTAATCAGTCTTCTATTACGACACCTGCAGGTATATAATAATAGGCTTATATTATTACTAATATTTTGTAGGTATACTATTATTTGATTAAGCCACTTAAAGTTATTTCTTTACTCAAGGCTTAGGATTTCATAAACATAATATAGGTACTCTAGACTCGAGTGTATAAACAAGTATGATTATTGTGTATAACAAATATTGTTTATTAAATTCCTTTATATTATATCATTGTACTTATACAAAAAGTGAAATTAATTAAATTGTTATGCAATTGATGCAATAATTAAGGTGAAAGTTTTTAATGTATGTGTTAAAATGTTAAATCATTAGTCAACATTAAATCGTTCAGTTTGAAAAACAATTTCAACCGTAGCCTAATCCATCTCCGAATCATAGAAAAGGTAAAAGGTTATATAAAACTGTTGAAGATTTTATTAAAAACGAGTACTATTGTTGGTAGTTTTTCAAATCTTTTCACTATTTTCTGAAAATTAGTGGAATAATCATGGGCTTGTGGGAGCACGTCTGTTTATTGATCTAAAGAGTTTGTTACTAAACTTTTTGTTCTTAAAATCTATTTGGTAAAAAATCAAAAGAAATCATTGTTATAAATCTTAAGACACAATACGGAGTCTACTTCAAGTATAAAGTTTCAATATTCAAATAAAAAAAAAAAACTGTAGAGACAATCTATAATATATATGACAATCTCATAATTTACACTATAATTATGTCACTGTTTTATAACTTTTATAAACTTTAATACGAAAGATTTCATTTGTTTTTAGTGTTCTACAAACGTGTTACAATAGAACTAGGTAAACCTAATTCTCAAATAACACTTATAGGAACTATAGTCAATAGAATGTTAAACTAATTTAGATTCTGAGCAAAGCGAAAAAAGTTATCGATTTTACAATGATGTGTGTTTTTTACTGTCTGCTGTCAACATTTGGGATAGTAAAATGTTCAGATTTTCGACATCAGCATATTTTCTGATACAAAAGTAAATCTAGCTGGTACTTTTGAGAGGTAAAAATAGAAAATTCTCAGAAGTTATATAGAAAGCGTCAGAAAGAAATAAAAGAAATAAAAGTTTAAAACGTGGTAATTTTTACGCAAAACCAATTTTTGAAAATATCGATTTAAATTTTTTGGTGCACGTAACTCAAAATATAATAACCGTAGTCCGTAGACACTAGAAATGTTCACCAAATATCTATATCAGAATTTTCCATGAATGGTAAGATTTTGGAATTTTTTTTTATATTTTAATCGATAAAAACTTTTTCACTTAGTAAACAGCTTGAAAATTGAATGCGAGGTTCTTTATAAGTTTCAATAATCTAAGTACAAAAATATTTAAGGTTAAAAGGCGTGATTATTTTTATATGCATTTAAAGTTCAAATTTTGATGAAATTCATCAAAATCCCGAAAATGTGCAAATCATTATTCAGTTAGAAATTCATGAAAGTTTTTTTTTTTCATAGCTTACATTAGAAATTTTAATAGAAGATTCTCCACAAATATTTCTACCTTAAACAAAAGGAAAAAAAGTTTAGTGGGAAGTATCGATAATTTGTTACGAGCGTTTGAATTTAAAATGTTAGATAACGATATTGGATTTTCACCGGTAAATTGACGAATTTCCATAAATCGATTTTGATAATTTTGTTGTAATTCTGGGAAAAACAAATAACTTTAGACTCTCAACATTTTCATAAAATATTTATATTAGAATTTTTCACATACATGGTACTGTAATGTGGTCGGGAAAATAACCAGTTAAACATCATAGGATATTCAGGGAAGAAGTTATATGGTCAGCATAATGTTAATAATAGGTACATAATATTGTTATATATAGCACATATGTATATATTATAATATATTCCTATTGTGCATATATTCTAATGTTTATAAAATATAAGTAATGATGTAACAATCGTTACAGTACCTAAAATGTTCAAGTCTTTTTGATTCTGTTTAAACTATTTATAGCTATGAGATTTTTTTCAAATGTTGTAAATTAATTTTCAGTTAGAAATTCATAAAAGTTTTTCTTTTCATAGATAATAATAGAATTTTAATAGAAGATTCCCAATGAGTTTTTCTACCTCTATACAAAAGAAAGTTTACTGGAAAGTTACACTGTTTACAGCCATGAGATATTTTCGATATTTAAAACTTTTTTAATCACAGAACTTTTTAGCCTCTCATCACAATTTTTTTAGTAAAGTGTATAATAATATATGAGCCGTCGGAATCAACACATAAAAAATTTCGACGGAGTTGATAGCCAGCATAGATAATAGGTTCTAACAGCTAAAAGGTGACTTCAGCGAAATCGATATACGCCCGTCTTGGTGACGAAAGGTTTATGACTTGGGCCGGGTTCACACTATACACTGTGTCGTGGGATTTCGTATTTTTATGTTAATACCAAAATGCAATACCAATGATATGAATATTGTACCTGATGGTAACATAATAATATAATATTATTTGTTTAATTATCACTTTACCGCACATAAATGTAACCACACGGTCAACATTTGAATATATCCAACTATGAGGTATCGTTTGGTAACTGTGGTAACCGTGATTATTTTACACGTCACGGTGGTGTAGTGTGAAAATGGCTTTATAGTTGAAAGAAAATATTCGACTGACTATTCGATTTGCATAGAATATTTCAGTGACAAACTAGGTTTGACCACATTTAAAAGATTTAAGTGTTAATCTACGAGTACATACCTATAGGTACAATGTACCTGGTACATACATAAAAAATAAATGTTTGTCCTTGATGCATTCCTAAACCGTTCATCCGATGAAATTTGGTACAGAGATAGATTAGATCTTGGGGAAGAAGATGGGTTACATTTTGTCGAGGAACATTTAGACAAGAGTCCAACCCGGGAGGATTTATACCATAGGTAGATTGTCTACCTGATAATATACTGCTCGCATAACCACAAGCGAATCTCACGGACAACGCTGATCGGGATTTAAATTAAAATATAAAATCATTTACACTTAAAAAGACATTAATTCCTCGGCTTGTAACAAAAAAGGAGTTGAACAATGACAATTTTTTTCCCTTCAACGCCGGGTAATTTAGTTATTGATGTATAAATATTACCCATAGGATATATTATATGGTGTATTTATATTGCTATTTTAATAATTTATTTTACTATTAGTTATGTAGGATAGGTTGGATTAATTTTCACAAAAAATATTTGTAATAATATTGATATTTAATTATTATAATAGTATATACATATTTATATTATATTTTAAAGTCATAAACTTTTAAGTAATACCAACTTACCGTAGAACGGTGTTAATATAGCCAATATAGGTTCGTACTACGTGGTATAAATAGGCAATAAATAGTGTACAATTTTATTATAACCTAAATGTCTAGAAAATGTAATTGTGTGTAATAATGTTATATACGTAAAAATTTCAAATCCCACGATAAGAAAATTTTTGAATTACAAAAAAATAAATTTAAATATCTAATATTGTTCAGATTTGAACTTAAAATACCTATAAAAAATTTTTTCTTATAAACTTTTTAGATTTTTGGTTCAAATTTAAAAATAAATAATATAAAATAACTTAGAAATAATAAAAGTTTTAAATAATATAAAAATTTGGTGAACGTTTCTATAGTAACTACCTAGTATAACTACAATTATTCGTTTTTGAATTACAAAAACCTGGTTTGGTGTAAAAATTTCCCGGTTTTCCCTAATTTTTTTTTTGCTTTTCCTAATCATTAAGAAAAGTAGGTACTGGGAATTTTCACTTTTAACCCCTAACCAACTAGACCCACTTCCTACCATGTTTCTCCAAAAAAGATATCGATGTTGAAAATTTAAGCATTTTTACTATTCTAAAAACTGATGACAGACACACAAAAAAAATGCCCATGAATTTCTGAGGTTTTCCCATAACATAATATATACTTACATGTTGTATGGAATTATAGCAATAATAGCTTCGTATATTTATGCCTGAGTAGGTACCTAGTAAAAAACAATGTTTAGTGAAATAAATAAATTATTAAGTGTTCAATCGTTTATTTTACCAATAATACTCCACTGTGTAGTTGGTATAATAAAATAGCCCTAACAAGATACATTATTGTAAACGATATGTACCTGAATTATGCCAATACGCTCTATATATTTATCACCTAGCAATTCGTATAATTTAAACGGCAACTACTTGTTGGACGGTAACTTATTTTACATTTGAAATTAATTGTTTGAAATAAATGAAATAGTAAAGTACCTAATTGTCTACCGTTTGGTTTTTCAGGAATGATGCCAGAAGAAGAATGGTACAATAAAAGTTTATCGGCATTGCGGATGAACTCCGGACATCATCCAAACCTCACCACACCAATGTTACAATACCAGACATAGAGTTGCTGTGATACTAGATACTAGATACATAATATGATTGTATGCTAATTGAATTATTTTAAATAATTATTATATAACGGGCTGAATCGTTCTTGTGTTTAAAACCATGTCACGCCACTTTTTCGTGTACCTACTAAAACCTCAATAGAATATAATCGTCAAAGTCTTGAAACACGTTTTGCTGATTTGTGTACAAAAAATACCGTAGGACTTACTTCAATCTATTTATAAGTTATTTATAACAACGGTTGTACCTATGTAAATATATAATATATATTTTTTGTTTGGTTTGTTTTTTATCACTTCGCAAATTCTTTAAGATTTATTATTATAGATGTTTTTACGTTTTTTTTCGATTTTTACGATTGATTAATATTATTGAACATAATCTACTATTATAACATAATTTATATTAAATAGTAACTATTGTAAACGGAATTGTAAATATACACGTTTTAATTATGTAATAATAATATGTTGGTGTGTGTACCTACCTAATTTTCTTTGATTTGAAATATAATATTTGACTAATTCTAGTTGAGAAGACTTTGAACTTATATCAGTTTCTGTAAATATAAGTTTGAAAAAATTCATAAAAAGTAAAATTATTTAAACGAATTTGTCGACAAGAAGAGTTGAATTCGAACTACCGATACGGTTTTTTATTTGTGTAATATGTTCATTATGATAGCCAATATCATCATTGTTACATCTAAATTTGCCTATAAAATGTCATATTTATCAAACAACATCATTTCTCTATCTACCATGCCGTTCAATTTAATAAATGATAAACGATTTACTGAATTAATATCCCTATATATACGTCTATACAGTTTACATTATACGCACATGCATTTACTACATCGCTTGCTTAGTAAAATACCTGCATAGATATTTTATATACGCTTTACAGATTATTGATTTGTTGTTAATGTCACACTCATCGAATTTGCTTAGGTTAACAGAACACAGAAACGTCCAGTACAAGCTTAATATAATCGTATTATTATTTATTGGCATAGCCAGCAGCCGAGTTTTGAATCGCGAAGTAGAGATTAACAGTCATCCTATAAATTTTTTAAATAACATTATTAATTTGATTTTCTATAGGTACAAAAACCTACTTTGTATAGATGAATCATAACAATTTAATAGTTTCAACTCGCTTCAGTGATCTTCAATACCTATACTGCTCACTACACTCAAGAACAGGGTTACTCAGGCGATTAAGTGTACCTACTATATATAATATTATTACTTATCATTTATCAATCAAAATTCGAACGACTTTCGTTTTTTAGTTATTTTTTAACTTTTTATACTAAGGATAATGGACCTAACATTACCTGTGTCCAATGTATACCTACGATAAGATGTGTGAAAAATATGCGGCCTGTGGTAATTTTATTTAAATAAATTAGTAATCCATATATTAATTCGTAAGCACTTTAATATATTATTAATTTATATAATAAAATAAAATAAAAGTTAATTATTGTTCGTTATTCAATTACCTACCTATTCAATGTACATAAAAAGGAAATGTCCGTATGTTTGTTGCTATATTATAATTATTTATAATATAGTCTCTATGACTAAAATACGAAATGTGTGTTTTTCTATAGTAAACGTTCTAGCAGTGGCGGATATAGGCCGGGGAAGGGGCCATGTCCACCCAAATTAAAAAAAAAAACAAATAAATAAATAATAGACAAATATAGGTTAGTTACTAACTAGGTATATTACTACCTATTTATACAATTGAATTTAATATAATATACGTTTTTTTTTTTTATCATGGTATTTAATATTATATTATACTCGATATCGTTTAGTTGTTAATTCTCATTTTTTTTTTTATTAACTTCCAATTTTTTTTTTCTTAGTGGTTTTCATAAACTAGATCTTCAAAACTTAGGAAGTATACCTAGTATAGTATTTTATGATGAGTCATTAAAAATTACTCTTTTTTGGTAATTTTCTGATATAGTTGATACATTTTTCAGTTTCCCCACAAAAAAGGAGTAATGGGACAAGTGAAACAATCAATATGGAGAAAAGCAAAATAATGTGTTTCACTTGCCCCGCATAGAAAATATTTTTATTTTTCTTGATCTAAATCATGTATTAAAATATTAAATATCTATAAGAAAGTCAAATTAAAGTTTATTTTATAGTTATTTTATGTCCAAATTTGGACAAAATTACAAATTAAATAACTAAGAATGTTGGTTTTAGTTATATTGTTGGAATGTCATTATGTTAATTCAATTTACCGACTACCGTATTAATAATAAGTAATAATAACCACATAAACAAAATATACGCTTCCTCACTGACAAACCGTCTGACTGATTTGAACTACAATTAGAATAGCTTTAAACAGGAAGACTTAGATTGTTACAGTTTATTTCAATTTTTTTTAAATGCTGCATGTACTATGGATGTAATTAGGGGCAGTCTTAGTGGAGAGCTGTACCTACTTGCTACTAATTATTATTTATTGTTGTATCGTATGTTGGCCACAAAGACAATATTATAATTTATAAACAAACGTACACAAACAAGTTATTCATATTTATTATTAAATACTGGCTCAATAGTATGCTGCCTAGTTATTCATTTTCTTATTAATTTTATTACCGTTTTAATTTTGTTCAAAATACATTTCTATAACATAATACATCAAATGATGGAATGTCGAACATACATCGAATCAAGATTGTCCTCAAAACTTCCGGAACACCTCTAGAATCACTCGGATACAATACAGATCTTCACTAGCAGCCACCATTGAATTCATAATAAAAGCAAAACTTCAAAACAAACTGTAATAATAAGCTTCATTAAATAATCTCTGTATCCCAATGGCCTATGTCACCGAGCGTAATTTTTTATTAATAAAAAAAAATATATATATATAATATACCTACATAAGTTTTTACTTTCGTTAATAATATTTATATTTTTCCGATTATTGTTATAATTTTTATTTTCTAAAAGTTTTCCTATATTTTTTAAATTCTTTTAAGTTTCTTTTCGTTTGTGAGGTATAAGTTCTTTTTATTTTCAACATAATACAATTCACTTTTTAGATTCATAGACGCACGCACATCAACAATTAAAGCAATTATTATTAACGAATGATTATATCTCTCAGGCCACAGATCTGAAGACTGAAATATTTTTATGCACTTACAATATTTGAATGTTTCAACACCCGTCAAACTTTAGATATAGAAAAGTTATGAAGTCCAAGTGATTATAAGGATTTATTTTGATATAAGTCTTGGTCGGCACATAAGTAAGCTAAACTATAGATTCATAAACCAAGTAAGATGCTTTTATGCATTAAGTATTTTGTAAAAAATATTTATTTAATGTTGTCGTCCCCTCGCCATTTCATCTCCACACCAAACACATCACCCACTATTGCCGGCCGGCGTCACATACACACAATCCACACTTTGTTCCAGGACCGTAAAAAAATGTTTATGAATGAGTTTCACGACATTTATAATAGGTTGCATAAAGAGATCCAATAGAATTGTGAGTGGTAAGAGACTTAGATATTAAGATATATGACTTTGGTAATCTGTAAATAATAATAAATAAACTATAATATATATACCTAATAGAAATATGATAAATACAATAATTATAGTAATGACTAATGATAATATAGTTATAGTTATAATATTAAGACAGTGTTGAATTTTAAATAAGGATCGGATCATATCATCCCAATAATTTACAACTTCTGTATTTTTACTCCTCTTATGGACTTATAACTCTATGTGGCAAATATAAATCCCTAGGCGCCAGCAGCCTAAAATACACTGTAAGCCGAAAATGTGTGAATGCCATATTGCGACAAAATTAAAAAATTCATATTAAAACTTATTCAACGTTATATTCGATATATATTTATTTATATTGAAATATTATGTGTTATCAGAGTATAAATAACGAAAAATGTTATGAGTAGTGCAGTTTCGCTGCACCGATCTATGTAAATTCAGTGGCGTATTTTCAATTTTTTTCTGGGGGTGGTCCAATAATTCCAACATAATATAGATAGGTACAGTACCTATAGTAAGTAACTGATACATAGAAATAGTTTTTAATAGATTATAAGAATAAAAAATAGTTGTTTTATTATATTTTATAATTTTCAAGTACAAAATCCAAGTGTCTTTTTTTTTACAAAGTTTTATTTTTTTATTTGAAGACATATTTATTCCAATTCCAATTTCCAAACAATAAATAGATACAAATAATTTATAAATTATACAACTATAAAAAAAATAAAAAAATAAATTTTATGCCATTTATTAAATAATTATGAAATGTTAGGTTTTGTCAAATCTGTATTTACACCTATCACAAATGAGAGACAATAATTATTCTCATTACACGTTGACAATTAATATTATTTCCATAGCAGTTTAATAATATTATGTTGTCAACTTCGTGTTAACACGTAAAAATAATGAAAGGTTTAAATTATAGTATAAGTAAATATCACTCTGCTAATCTCTGAACAGAAAATAAATACTAAGTAGGCAAACATGGTTCTAAATGAATACTAATTGTCGGCCAGTTGACTCCAAAAATTACATTAATGTTTTATGTTATTATAAAAAATAATAAATTCTTTACTGCTCACATCGGATCAATGAGCTATTATTATTATTTACTACCTAATTTACTAGGTATATATTTAATTTGTACTTACATAAGTAATAGATCTAATATATTTTATTGAAGAAATAATATTCAAATACTTGCACTCGTAGCCGATGCCGTCGTTCGGTAACAAAATACATACATGAAGTATTTAGTAAATGATTCTACGACAATTGCCGTGTTTACAAAGCAAAAATTTAAATAGATAAATAATAGCTACCAGCTATACTGTCCTATAGAAATAGTTCATTGGAGAATGATGTGCGTCGTCAATTTCTTGCGATAAGAATGTTTTGACTTTTTTGAGA